TTATATTAATGTACTGCTTTGGAGACAATAACACCATGAGCATTTATCAAATTATTTATTTGTTAGAGAAAATAAATGGTAGTACATACTTTAAGAAAAAGACTAACTTAGCTACTTATGAAGACAATAACACCATATAGTCATTTCTCATGCACAGGAATGAGAGGGAAAAATAAAATTGAGGATAGGAATTAGAGGGAAAAAATAGAGGGAAAGTTGTCTTTTTATTTATTTTCAGTTTTTTAATCATTTTTAAGAGTGATTTGACTTAACTACCCTCACATGTTGTGCACATGGTCTCACTTAACAGAAATATAGATGGAATATATGAAAAACTAACAATAGGGGGCATATCAGCTAAAAAAAATTAGTTTGAGTCCTTAATTTTCCAATGGAAAAGTTCATGGGTGAATCAAAAGTTAAGTGAAAGTTCAAGGGGTAAATCAACAGTTGACTCCACAAAAGAAATAGTGCATGAATTATATGACTATTTTACACCTACCATGAATGCTGTTTGAACATGCTAGAATAATAACCCCAGCATATTATGTGGTGCAGATTAGATAGTTTAATTCGTTGCAAGTTCAATTCTCAAAAAAAAAAAAAAAAAAAAAAAAAAAAGAAGCACAAACTCATAGTCAACTAATAATATGTGACAATAAAGCCATGCAAATCTTGTGCCTCTCTCTACTCTCAGGGGCCAAAAACATCTTGCACATCGTAAAGCTTTAATTAACTGACTTTTGCATATATCATGACTCGAGGATATCATCCAAGTTCGATCGCCCGACATTTGTATGTTATTAGACAATTAGAAGCATGCTGTCTCAGTAATTTTTCAAGTTGCAATCCACTACTTAATTATGATCAGGTCAGCATATGCAACTTACAATCGCAACAATGGAAAGTTGGAAATTAAACAAATTAATTTTCACCTCGTTCACCAAAGATTATGTGATCGATTATTCGACTGCGTGATGGATGACGAAACTATAAAATAACCTAGCTAGTACATGCTAACATAAAAGGCATAGAACTGGTACTGGGTACCATGCAATTGACTAGGTGATGTTTTTTATTTTATCCATGAATTAATCGGTCAAATATATATATATATAAAGAAAAATAATCTTAATTATAAAGAGTCATAATTAAATTTTTAGAATACCAACTATATAATTTGTTATTAGCCTATTAATTGAAGAGCTTCTAGTTGCCCTACGAATTACTGATTAGTTATTTGTGGATCATGGATTACCAGGATATTGGATGATTTCATTTAAAGAGTTGTATACATCTTAAGTCTTTGAGCATACAAGGATTACAATTAATTACAATACTTGTAGAAAAAGGAATCCTATTAATGACTACGGCGGCGGGGGAATGTATTGTATATGGAATTTGATGTACTTGATTTTGAAATCTAGGAAATACAGACTTCGGAGGAGTAAATATAAGACACATTGTATTGAAAAAAGATTTTTTTATGTCTTCTAAAAAGTCAAAAAATCTTATGGTATTCAATTATGACTTTTTGCGAGTCTATAAAAAAAAAAAAAGGTGTATTCAAAGTTTCATTGATTTTAAAGGATTTTAAAAGGTCGTGGACTTTGATGAACATTGAGTTATTTTTTAGTAAGTTTATTGCATATCAAATACAACCTCTACCCCTAACATTTTAATGGATTTCATTTTTTTTCATTTTTGATAATATACTCCACCACTCACCATATGCAATGACTACCCTTTCACCACCATGTTGCCACCACCACCTTACCATGATCATTTGTTGGTGTCAAAACTTGGATGGAGTTTGGACTGGGTTCAACACGTATTTGCCCTGAATGTTGCTTTTGGTCTCAGTGCCACAGGGTGGCTCAAGAGAAAGAGGCGTGCCACTATTGAAGGTTGCCAACAAATAAAGTTTATGTTTGATTGTGTGTGAAAGTTGCGCATTAATCTGACTTTTTAACCAATGATTGTGCGTCAAGTGGGACACTGGTTCAATTTAGTTCTTTTTTGTTCATTGAGCAAATGTGGACTTAAAGTTTAGTGTAGCTTCGTGTATGCTTGCCTAAAAATTAAATGGAAGTAAAGTATAAATTTTAACGAGAAACAAAATGTAATCACCTCATGATGTAATCAAGATTACAAACGTTTCACAAAAGTAAATTCTAGGCCGATCTGCTAAGCTACATAATTAAATGTAATTGACTGAAAATGTAAAGAAATTAGTAAAAATCTAGCAAGATTCAGTCCATGAAGGGAAAGATAATGCTAAATGAGTGTACTGAGATCATTGGTGTCTGATTAGACTTAGTGCAAAACATGTTTCTCATAGAGGAAATCAGTGTGGCTGGAATTGTACATCAACTAAATCATACCACTAGGTGGCAGAGTTGTGAAAGTTTTATATCTCAGGGATCGTAAGCAGTATTTGCTTTGAAGAAAAGCTTTGAGATTGTAGTTGAAGAGCTAAGAGAGTTTTTACTAAAGAGCAATTGGGTTTGTGATGAAAAGCAGTTGGGTTAATTGAATAATTACTCAAAGTTTTTGTTTAATCGTAGAGATTGAACTTGACGAAGGTCTCGACCTTGAAGACCTTAGGCTCTATTTATAGGGAAGGAGAATGAGCAACCTCGATCATATCATTGAGCTAAAGTAAAGGTAGACTGCACATTTAGCATTGACAGTGACTATAATTTTTGGTAGGTGGCCTTCAACTGTGTCTTGAGACGATTAGCACGATCGCAGTAATGACATCAGTGTGTCAGATTACATATGCATAGGCATTTAAGGGGGCAAGATATTCCCAAGCTTTGGTTGCCTATGTGGCAGATGTGCTTCGGATAGGAACCCATCCAAGCCCTTACACGGGCTAAAGTGAAATGAATTTGTCGTCTGAGCCCCAATTTTAGGCTTCAAAGTTAGTGGGCCGGAGTTGTGTGACTTTGCGTAAATAAAAATAAATAAGTACTATAGTATGCCTTATTTCATTTATGGCCCAAACACCATCTCTTTAGCCCACCACTACCATGGTCATCATCGTTGTCACCACCATCATTGCCATAGGCATCATCACCACCCCACTCCCTCTCCCCGCCACCCCCACCCACTCCATACTACCTTGACTACTACCACCTTCCTATGACTATCACCATGGTACCATTTTCACCATCGTGTCAAGATCATCACCACCGTACCACAACCCTTGATGACCACTTTTTTATTGTCGTCGTTACCACCAGCATGACTATCACTGACACCACATTCATTATGTTTGCCACCTCTACCACCATCATCACCACAACATCACTACCAACCCATCCCAACGCCACCACCACTATTTTCACCCATACTATTAACGTTGCCACCAAATACACCACCATATTGCCAAAAATACCACATGGGCAAATCCACCACCTTATACGACCACTTTGTCATGATCATAATAATCATTTCAAATAATGTGAAAAAAAATTAAAAATAACAATACTTAATTAATAAATTGATCAATAAAAAGTTCATGACAATTCACATAACTCTATTAAAATTTATGATAAAAGTCTCACAAACTCTATTAAAGGTCATGTATAATTCAATCAAAATCCACATGGAGTCCATGAAAGTCAAGTAAACTCCTTTAAAATCCAATGTATTCATAACCTTATGAGAATTCATCAAACTATATATCCAATACACCCCCTTAAATTTGATTTTCTGGAAATATCATATTAGATCTTAAGCAGTTTTTTATTACCGTTGACATTATCAATGAAGTAAAATCATATTTGAACGTGTACTTCTCATTGGCGATTTCATAATGTTGCAAGATAGATTTGGGGAGCACTAATCTTCATATTACAAATCAATATATGATTTGATCAAACTTTGCAGGCACTGTATACTAGATTTTTGTCGGCTGGAAGAAGGTTGTGGAAGTCAGTTAATTCTTGGATCATGGGAGCTTCTGGGATCATGTGTTGCACTAAATTTCATGTAATCCTCAAAAATATTTAACTAACCTTGGCAACCTCCCCTAGTAAACCATTATTACACACATCAATATATATGAGATTATTAGGGACTCATTCCAATTGTCAATCCTCTGAAATTTTCAAACTTGCGCATGCTGGCTGCATGGGGTTTCATGTCTACCCAGAACATGCTTTCAATAAATTTGAAAGTTTCGTATGTATTTTTTTTATTTTTAATTCGAATGACGGTTATAAATGGCACAAGAGTGACTACTTTTCCCTTCAAAAGAGGAAGAGACACCACTTGGAACATGTCAACCTACAGTCCTACATGCAGTTTGACCAAGTAATAATTTTCATTATCGTAGGGCTTTGGCACTAATAATTTTCCTCGTCGGAAATTGATCGAGTAGTTGAACTTTAGTGAGTAGGGGAACAATTAAGCCACAGAAGCTTCTGTGGGACCTTCTAAATAATAGAAAGGTCTACTAACTTACAAATTAAAGAAATTCTATACAGGAGCTTCATTTGCGCAATGCATGAATTTTGAAAAGATATCCTAGAGTAACTAAGAAATTCTAGCTAGCTACAAAATAATCCTCTCTTAAACTGATAAGATAACATTGAGAAATACCTTTCGTTAGATTAGTTGAATACTCTGCATTACATATGTGCTTCACTCACTAAAATGGAAATTGAAATTGTTGATCGCGTTTTAATTAAATGAAGGGAAATTGGTTGAAATGATGAAAATGCAAATCTCAATTGATGAAATGATTTGGTAATATGTTGTCATTATTTTATTTCAGCGAAGTTTTAAAATCCAAATATCAGCTAATTTTTCTTGAATGAAACGCTTATAATTAGTACATACTACCACAAAACTGAAGTAAAATGATCATATTTATATTTATGGATTATTCATGGTGTGATTCTTAATTTCCAATCTATTCTATACATAATTAATCATATTCATAGTATATTAAAACAAAATGAAAGCAATGAACAACATTTCTTCTCTCATCATGTACTCCTGGAGAAAGCTTCGTTACATGGCAGATCAAACGGGCTCCAACCATCCATTAACAAGTTGGGATTATGAAGTTCATGTCCTAGTATCGATGTGCCAACTTGCATTGTATGACTACCACTATCCATCATTTGCGAAGTAGTAGACCACAATGCCTCTTGGCCTGGCAATGGTGGCAACCCAAAATCGCTTGCATATTGTACTACTTCACTTGTGTGTTGATGATGATGCTTCTCTGGATGATGAATTAATGGGTCTAATCCACCAAAGTACATACGGTCATTGGTGCTACAATTTTCAGTGGACAAGTGATCATGAGATAGAGTGTGAAATCCAAGCGACCCAACAAGACCATTTTGATGATAATGATTATCCATTAACTGAGTACTAGTATTGTCTGAGCTTGCATTGTTCATGTTTAATTCCATGCTCGAAAAATCTAAAGCTGCTGGGTCGAATTCGCTTGGAAATTTTGGTAGTTGATGATCAGATCCGGTAGTACTATCTGAATTATCGGGCTTCTGCTTCAAGAAATTTGCATAAACAAGTGCAAGATCAATATGTGACCCATCTTGAGTCACTGAGGGACTTGTGGAATCACCCAACACGTTGGTGCCATAGGAATTATGAGCACCCTCATTAGTACTGGCCCTACTCTTATTTGTGTTGTGATGTGCGGGACCTTCTGTAGTGCTGGTGGTGGTGGCGGATAGCCTTAAAGACTTGGACCCTCTTCTATTCCTGCGGCAGCCACCTCCAACAGGGATGTTCCTGAGGGACCCTCCTTTGGTCCAGTACCTCCTACAACCCTTGCAAAAGTACCTTGGCTGAGTTAAACTATAGTTGTTGTAGTAACAAAATTTGGTGTTGGAACAACCACACCGGGGACAATTGGGAGATGTGTGATGATGATCATCGTTTGGTTTCCATCCTGCTCTCTCCATCACCAATGACCCAATTCTTTTTAGGCTTCATCAAAATTTCCAACACTCCCTCTTCCTTTCAGAGTTGGAGAGAGAGAAAGAGAGAGAGAGAGAGAGAGAGAGAGAGAGAGAGAGAGAGAGAGAGAGAGAAGGCTCAGTTGGGTTGCATGTAAATGAAATAGTATAGTCTATATGCTTATATGGGGTAAAATAATTATAATTAAGAAAGCATTAGTGTAGAGTACACAACCCCATGCACATTGCACACTAGTACGTAGTGTGTTGAGAGATTTTCTCACATTGATAATGTAAACTCTGATTTTTCAATATATAATTATGGTCTTCAACGATTGCTAATTGATTTTGGTTCAAGGTACGTTTTTAGTTCTATCAGGATATCAGAATAAGCCTAATTTGTATTGTGTAATTATTTGGTTTAATTCATGCCAAATATGAGGATATGTGTTGAGATTTTATCTCATACATGTATGTAAAAACTTACAATTAATCTTTGTTTTCAATATCTATGAGAGTTGAACTCAAAATCTTTTCAACAAAATAAAAAGTGATCATCGCCAATGAACCAAATAGGCAATAGAAAGTTTCACATTTTTGAGTTAATATACTCTAATGCCATTAGTATTATGTAAGAGTGAAGTTTGTTATATAGAAATGTTGACTGTGTGTATGCACCCGTGCACAGGAGGTTTCGGTGGCGTTGAGGCCGCAAAGGGAGTTAGGGTTGTGCGTGTGTCACGTCCCCGTAGGCTGATAGCGGGTGTCGGTGTTTGCCACACGTAGCACAAGGATAATGATGCCATGATCATGCACAGTCGTGAGGGAGTTGAAGGAAGCAAAACCCTCGAAACGGGTAATTTCAGGACCCTTTGAGGAGCAGGCAGCCTTCTTTATTATGCACAAGGTGCCCTCCCATTTTCGGTACCCTCTCGTGCCCTTCTGTTTTGTGTGATCACGGTTAAATCACGTTAACATTTTATATTGTTTTTTTTATAGAGATAATAAGACAAAAATGAATAGTAATATAAAATGTTAACGTGGCTTAACCGTGATCACACAAACAGGAGAGCACCGGAAGTGGGAGGGCAAATAATCGTTGTCCCTTTATTATTTATGTTTAATTAAAACTAATCACTCCAATTTATTACTGATTGAGAATCCTCCTTTTCCTAACATGAAATTGAGACTCTCAACACGCCGTTTGATGTTTATTGAATTTTTAAGCTTAGCATGTGGACACACTAATCGGGTGACGCACGCATGGCCAACCTACTCTGATACCATGAAGAAAGTTGGGGTTCCAGAATCGCCCAACCTCTTATAAGTCTTTGCAAGGTTTTTCCTTTCACCGATGTGGGACTCTTTAACCTTCACATCATTACAGGTTAAAGTAATGTGCTTCCCTTTGCATTCAAGTTGAGTTGTCTCTCCGTAATTTAGATTAATACAGTGTAGACTATCGCTAGCATAAAAATTGTGAGCACTAATTTAGTTTGGTTAACTACCTACCTTTGTTCGGGAATGAGTGTAAAACGAATCCATACTGTACTTTAAGTAGTATGCCTAGCAATGGCATCGATATGTTCTCAACCATATAAACCTAAACACAAATTGTTCTCTAGTCCTCATCTTTTGGTATTAAACACATTACACCAAGAACAAGTCAAAGTACTACAAAGCTAGAGCATGTGGGAGCTCTTGAGCCTAGAATTTCTTAAAGTGGGAATGTCCCTTGGATCGGTGCTTAGCTACACATATACAGTTATACTTTATGGAGGATCTCTTGGATCATGGGCTTCTTGGATCCGTCAGCTCGTGAATTTTATGCGTCTTTTGGGAAGGAAACCAATACTAAGCTTGGAAATTCTTCTTCACGCATGTTTTTTCATAAATCTTAGCCGTTCTCTTTCGTCCCTTCATGCACAGGTGAGCAAAAGCTCATACTAAGCTTTAAGAAACACATCAGTAGAAAGGCGACGGATGAAAACATTCGTTGATATACTGTTGAAGGAAAATTTGTTGAGTGAGGGTAAAAGAGGGACGGCAAGAGAGAGAGAAAGAGAGAACATGATGGTTGTGAATTGTACACGCTCTCTTATGACCTTATGCCTTTATTTATAGTAAGGTTGTGAATTGTACACGCTCACTGGTGGCCTTATGCCTTATGTATACTAATCATGTGGGTTTTAACAAGTAATACAAGTCATAAAAGAATTAGATCTCCAAAATCCTATCATAATCTATTTTTAGATTTATACGATCACATTCCTAAATAATATTAACTACAATAATATCGATACTTTCATGAACGTTCATTGATATATTGACATTTTCATGAAATTGTAGATTTTTTGAACCACTAACATTTATGGAGGTGAAAAAATGTAATACCCTGAAAATTTAAATACATGAATAAGATCTTCATGATTATGAATATGTGGAGAAAATCGAAAATAAATCGATTTATGGTTATAAAAATTTAATTGAAAATTTTTAAAGTTTTTTTCTGGAAATTATTATAATTTACGTCGTAAAATTTTAACAATAAGGGGAAAAAGACGAAAATACCCTAGTTGGCTTAACGTAATTATACGGGGATGTCTTTTATCCTCATGTATTTTATCTTAATTCTTGACGTATTTGGATAGAGCTTGATCCTACAAACGCATAGGCGCAAACCGTTTGTGAAATGGAGTTAAAATGAAAAAGTTAAAAGTTATTAAGGTTAGGGACAAAATAGTCATTTAATTGTAAAATCTGGAATGCTCCAAAATTTTTGGAGATTTGATCAGGAGCCACGTGTGTGGCTGTGATGAAAAGAAAAGGAGAGTGCAGGAGAGAAGGAGGGGAACAGACCAATAGGGAGGAAAAAAAAAGAGGGAAATGAGAGAAGAAGAAAAGGGGGAGAAACAGGCTAACCCGTATACCCCTTCAGACCTGACTCATGCGCCACCTTTCCGACGCTTTTCCATCAGTTTTCCAGTGATTCAAACTCTGCCGCCACCTGAAAACCGACCATCATCCTTCCCTCTTCCATATTAGAAGGAAATTGGTGGTGTTTTTGTAGAGAAATGCATCGGTGGGTGTGGCAGGCATTGGCAGTGATCCACTAAATCCGAAGGTAACTCCGGCAACCACCACCACCGAAAGACTCCCCTTAACCTCAGGAACAAATCCCATGCATTGTTTGGGGCGTCGGAGCTGTTTTGGAGTTGAATCAAGAACACCCAAAATCAAGGGTTTCCGGCTAATCGTGTGAAATTTGAGGTGTTTCCCGGCCAAATTGGACTTTGCCCAGGTATGAAACTTGCTCCACTCATTGAGATATACAACCCTGTGAAATTTCTTAATTTTTGGAAATAGTTGAATTTTTCGGAAAGTCAGGGTAGCTGACCGCCACCCTCGGCGGAGCTTTGGCCAGTGGGCCGACAATGCCTAAGTTCAATTAGATGTCCTGAATCTGTATTTGATATTCGAATGACATGGTTTGATCGTTTGAACCTAATTTCACTATGATACACTACTTGATCAAATTATGAATCGATGATCCGACTATTGGATTGTCTCCAAACTTTCATACAAAATAAAACGTAATATTTGAGGATATTAGGAAATGACGGATCGGGAATCCGACTTACGGATCTTCCCGACTTCGATTTCTAAGTTTGTAAAACAAATTATTGATCACCACCTAATTCTAGAAATTGGCAGAGATCCGACCGTCGAATCGAGATGGAATTTTAGTATGTTGTTCTAGTGATGTAATGTGGATTTTAGAAGATTACGAATCCAAAATCCTATGTGTGGATCTTCCGGATCAAATTACGTAGGAATGTGGACCCCACCTTTGATCGAGAGTTTACTTTTGGTCAACATGTCTCGAAACATTATAAATACTAAAATTAGTACTACAGGAGACTAAGTGAAGTCTGGGGGGGCCTACATCAGTTAGAGAGTGACTTGAATATATGTGAGATGGTTATTACCTTAATTTCTTATATTAATATCATTTGTGAATATGACTTGATTTTATGAATATGATTTCTATTGAAATGTGATTTTTATATGTTTAGCCATAGACCTATGATTATTAAACATGATTTGGCTTGTGTACTGATGATGATGATGATGATGATTGTGTTATATGTGTGTTCAATTATCTTTTAGTAAAGTGATTGTGAACTACGAATGGTTTGATCCCGCCGAATGGCACGTAGGCAATCTAACGAGAAGTTAGATATAGCCATAAAATAAACAAGGTTACATAATTGAGAATATAATTGTATGTTTTGGTAAGAGAATTATGGTTATAGATCATGTGTGGAATTAAGGAATTTAATTAAAAGATCGCGATTAATGGTAGTAAAATAAACAAGAATTTAGTTTGGGCCTATCACCGATATTAATTTTCGAAATAAATATTTCAAGGCAGTGAGTTACAAAAAAAAGTACCGTGTCGTCGAAATATTAAAGAACCTAATCATGAAAGCTTCTGAAAATCAAGAAGTTTTTGCATATTAGTGTGTTACAAAAAAAAGTACCGTGTCGTCGAAATATTAAAGAACCTAATCATGAAAGCTTCTGAAAATCAAGAAGTTTTTGCATATTAGTGTGTTACAATCTCAAGAACACACTCACATGCAATGTATTCATTTGATATGTCAAAGTTTATGAAAATTGTATGTTTAATTGATCAATATTTAATCAATTTCGTGTCCTTATAGTTTCATAGTCATTTTCTGTTCTTTTAAAACTTCCCAAAGTTTGCATCGATATCAATATTTCCATGAATATTTGTGTCGATATTTCCTAAACTCTAACAAGGACGACTACAATTCCGCAAAATCTGGTTTGGAATCGGCCCCCAAGCTCATTTCTTATACACGTGACATTATACTGTCACATTATAGAACTCGAAAAAACTTCTAAACAACCTATAGCAGCCCCACAAGCATCGTCCATCTTGTGAACGAATAATTTTTCTCAGTTATAAAATTAACGGG